AAAACACTGTGCTTACTCCAAGACAGCTGGCTTAAAGATTTGGATGCGTCCATACTGCCCACCCATAACCCAAAATTTCTATACACACACAGAGCTACACTTTCTGCACAGCCAAGCAACTGTTGAGCTCTTCTACTTTTTTACTGTAGGACTCCTTGAATAAGAGCTTTTTGCCCTCCAGAGTCCCACAATCTTAAGAGAACTCCATTCCCCTGCAATTTCTATCAAGTGCTAAGGAAAAGAGAAAAAGAGAGGTTCTGGGTTTATGCAGGACTTAGTGCAATGAAACTCCTGACACTGTGGTGAAAACAGCATCTGAACAGGCAAATCACAATCTTGGTTCAAAATGAAAAAAATGACTCTGAATTATAATGTAGGAAATTTAACCAGAGAGCTCACTGGAGATAGTGAATGAAAATAAGAATAAACAAGGAACCAGCATTTTTATGCTCACTTTTCAGAGCATTTACAGAAGCTACTGAGACAGCAAAACCACAACAAAGTAACTGGGATAAGTCCCAGGTGACTAAACAGCAGTTTAATTAGAGCAAGTAACGCAAATGCTGCTGGGGAGGAAACCCAATATTGGCAGCAAAAACGGTCTCGTCTCTATTTGTAGAGCACTCACCACTTGTCCTGACTCTGGACCAGGGCGTTGCAGTCAAGGAGGGCAGAAAAACAAGGCCAGCACATGTTGGTGGGAGATGGTTCAGCTCCCATGCTGCGCACAGGGCTTGCTCTACACTGCTCCTAGCATAAGTGGCAGTGGCTCCACAAGCCGTGCTACACTCAAGTCCCTGGCATTTTCAACACTACAAGCAGTTCAGAGGGCTTCTGACTGACCACTAAGACCACCTTGTGCTGCCAGCACAAAAGGCTGTCATTTACAAGTCTCCCTCCCTGCTTCCAGGCCTGGTAAGCTCACTGCAGCAATTGTCCTCCAAGTAACCATGATCTCATGCTCTTCAGACTGAGCAAGAGCTCACAAAGCCTGGATGCCAGCTTTCTGCTATCTAGCCTTCCCCTCAAGGATGGGATTCTAGGTGTCCCCCAGCTACCTCAGTGGTTACTATGGCAGTACTGAAAAACAGTACTTTGAAACATCAAAGATCAAATTCAGTTGAAATTAGCAAACAAGTTAAAACTGAGAGTTAATTTGACAAATCTCTATATTTTGAGCCAAATTCTGCATTTTTTGAAGCAAGGGCTTTTTTTTCTGAGCCCAGGAATGAAGCTGCACACAGGGGTTGCTGGATGTCTCATTTTGGAGATATGGTCAGAACAGCACCAAAGAGCTCAGGGAGGCCCCATCCAACTACTTCCAAAGTGCCTCCTGCACCTTTCCCTGTATCCCAGAGCACTCCTCTCTGTACCACAAAGCCTTCTTCACCTTTTTCCCTCTTCTGATTTGCGCATAGTACCTAATGCTATTTTTTTGGTATCCTTATCCTTTGGGTCCCTCATCTGCCCCAAACATTTCCTTACTCACAAAGCAACCTCTCTGGACTAAGAACAGATTTTTATTATAGTATTTCTTCAGGGCCCTGTATACCTACCTCACTTGGGGGCTCCTAAAATGTAAGTTAAAGACAACAGACAACTCCTTTACACAAATTTCTGCTACCGAAAAATGCCTGTGTCCTACCACTTGTACACACTCTTACTGGCTTCACTAACATAACTAAAGCCATAAGCGTAAATATTTGCTCAGAACTTTCTCCAAGCCTTACAGAAGAGCAAAAGTACAATTAAACATGAAGAAAAGGAAAAACCACAAACCAAGACAAGACACAGAGAAGAACACAGCCCTGGAACGCAAGAAAATGCAAAAGAATTTCTGCCGAGCTGTATGTGCAACAATGCATGTTTCTATCCCATCACAGACTTAGAAGCAATTTGCAGCAGTTCAACTTGTAACACAAGCGCTCCGGCCATCTTCTCATTTCTTGTAATAACACAGCTAAACCATGTCTACACCAATGGCCTCAGTATTCCTTCTGCCGAGAGGGAGATAAGCCAAAGATGTTGGCTAGTGCAGAAAACACAGCTGCAAGCTCTGGGCCTCATCCAATTTCTGTAAAGGTCAACAGCAGCAAGAACAGACCTCAAATAAGTGAAATGAGGAGCCAATGTCCCACCTGTGGGAGGGCTATTTTAGCCTACCAGCATCATAAATAGGGGCAACTCTCTGCTCTCCCTCATCCAGGCCTGCCTCCTTAAAACACTTTTGGCCTCTGTGCACCAAGGATGCCAGAACACTGCCTGCATTCAGCTTCTTACACATGAGCTAATTGCCTTGCAGAGATTACACTGCACATCACCTCAGTGTTCCAGTAATGTCTCTGTACCACCATTTCACCCCTCCAGAGGTCACTAGGATGGACCAGCTGAGATACTATCAGTCACAGTCAGCTTAGCACACACATACTCTGAGTGTATCTTAAGAGCACAAGCACCAAATTCTCCTGCCTCTTCTACCCTGGAAACTAGAGCTCACAGTTTCAGAGGGCTCTGATGCACACAGAAAGGAGGAAACACCTGGTCACTGTTTTGTCACCAGCAAGACTGCTGTAACATTTCAGTAGCAGTAAAGTATCTGATAGCATGGCTCACAAAACCATATTTGCAAAAAATCAATCCCCGACAGTCTGAATGAGGCATCCTCTCCAAACTAGCCAAAGGGCTACAAACAAGAAGGCTGCTTTACTGTGTTCAGAGAAGATGTACCCTGGGGGTTTGAGGGACCAGTATTAATCCTCATCTAATTTAGCCTGTTTGCCGGCTGCCTGGAAGGGAAAATAAACCAGCAGATTAATCGTACTCATGGACGGTGTTAAATGCAAAGAACGAGTAACTGCTGGCCAGACAGAGAAGTAGTCCCAGCAGCTCGACATTGCCCTTATACAAGCACCTTTACAAAGTAGTTCCGCCCCCCCCCCCCCCCCCCCCCCGCGGCGCACGGGG